TTGATGTTTATAGAAAGAACTGATAAGTTATAATTGGAAATTGTAAATAACGTCATTGAAAATATCAATATAAAATCACAGGTAATGATTATCAATGCTCCGACAGTAACTTATTTAAGTTAAAGTTTTTCTCCATTTGTCAAAAAATGGTCGCCTTCCGGCAAATACCCGTAAACACTCTTGTATTGATACAGTAGTATTGATACAGTATTTAGTAATGGTTCTTACATTGAAGTTTTGTATGGTACGCACATCTTGCTTTTTTTTTAGAAGTGCTGAACCAATTTTCATGATTGTCTTTAAAATTATCTATAATCTTTGAGGTAATACGTCGCTTATCCACCTTTTTCTTCATTTATTAGATAATATAATAAACAGAAAACATTTATACTACTTAAAAACTTACTTCAGTTTAATGTTGGTTTCTCTTATAACAGTTTTTCCATGGCTACTACTTTTTTGTGCCCAAACATTTGCTTTACCCATAACAAACCATAATTCTGGTGATGTCAAAATTCATGACGGTGTAAATCTACAAAAGCGTGGTTATAGACCCACGTGGGTATTTTGGTACTATAGCGGTGGTGAACGAGATTGTGGAAATTACTGTTTAATTTCATTTCTTCTTGGGTCATTTATTATTCTTTTAATAATTCTTTGCGGTTTTTATCGGTGCTATCGAATTAAAAAATTTTACGCAACTGGAAGATTTAGTTGGGAAAGGCGTCATAATACGGAAAATTCATCTGAAAACGAAGGTGATGAAGGGGCACATGAAGTGGCTAGAGAAAGAAGAGAAAGGAGACAAGAAACAGAACAAGCTGTACCACTAACTCCGCCACCGCCATATACCGCTAAGGATACTAAATAGTAATAAATTTGAAAATTGAAAACCTGGAACAGGTTACATTAATACTGTAATATACAAGTAAAATAAGTGACACATTTGCGTCAAAACATGTGATAATTGTTTACTGGTAGATATTTCTAATTTTATTTTCATGTTTTAATTCCTGAGTTGGAGCTTTAAAATAGAAGCAGGTTCTTTTAAACTCCACTTATTCTTAATTGTGAAACCCAATATAAATCTTTAAATTTCAAAAAACACGATTTAAATTTTTACATTGTAAAAAATAAAGAAGGTTTTTTATTTTTGCTAAAATTTTTAACCAACTAATCTTTTTATGAACGTTTAATAATGCATGTAAAAATGCAATATATACCGTTTAATGTACTGTTCGCTTAATAATTATACAAATAGTTACCTATTGCTAAATCTTTATTTTTTGGATCCGCCTTCCATCAATTAACAAACTTTCTTAAATGTTTGACAATTCAATAATTTTCTTTTCATACCAAAAAGTTCCAGTTGGACTTTTAGGCACAACTGTTTCGTCGAGAGCAAGAAATACTGGTGTTTCTGCACCTTGGTCTTTTGAAAAATAATGATGTCAACACTAAAAATTTTCAAATAATATCAAGTATTATTATTAGTATACGTACCAGGAGTGAGTAGTGCCGCATCAACTGCCATATCCGTTTTAACCTAGAAATATTAAAATATGCCGTAAACTACCAATACTTTTTTAGCCCTTTTTTTAACTTGTAATAATTTGAAATATTGAACTTACCCAACCAGGACAACATGAAAATATTTTAACATTATTACCTTCCTTATCAGCGCGGCAAGCCAAAATTTTTGTCATTATTGTTACTCCAATTTTGGAAACTCGATAAGCTTTAATCAAAAAAAAATTTAGAATTTTTTTTGAATAATAAAATTATTTATTAAATATAATTTTACCTTGCCTGGGCCATCCATCCTGTTCATAAGTACCTGCCTCTACTGCATTCTAATGCATTTTATTTTTTATAAATATCAATTATTGTTATTTCACATAATTAATTTCATATAATTAATTTCAGACATTTGATGCAAACCTCAAATCTCTTCATTAATTTAATTAATCCCTCCATGTCTAGATCCTCCTTTAAAAATTCTTGTTGCAAAGCACTACTCAAAACACTTAATTTTCCAGCTTTACTTGAAACGTTAATAATACGACCATTTGGTCGAACAAGTGGATATAGAGCATTGAATACGTTAAGTGTACCGTAAAAATTGGTGGCTAATGTTGTACGAACAACATTGACATCAAATGCATTTCCTTTGAATGCTGTATGAATTAAACAATATTAATACGAAATCTTTTATTAAAAAAAGATTTTTATTATTATATTATTTCATTGAAACTTACCAATACCCGCATTATTAATTAAAACATCAAGTCCTTTAAGGATAAGTAGTGATAATTGGTTAATCTATATATTTTTTTTATGAATCTTTAGTCATACAATCAAACAAATATTATACCTAAGTAATCCTTTTCAATAATTTCTTTAGCTTCCTTAATACTTTGTTCATCAGCTATATCTAATCTCAAAAATTTCAAATCTACTTTTCCACCATCCTCTACTAAAATATTAGGCTTCAATTCTTCACGTAATTTATCTATTGAACTTTGTCCTAGTGTTGGATTACGTGCTGTCAACAAAATTGTAAGAGGCTGAGATGGTGATGAATTGGCATAGTTCAGGGCAAGATTTCGTACGACTGCATAGCCAATTCCTTTATTCTTTATTGTTATTGAAAAAAAATTTTCATTATATATATAAATTTGTTTGGTGTTCAAAAGCTTATATAACTTGCATCGTACTTACGCCGCCAGTTAATAAAAATACTTTAGATGTATCGCTCATTTTTTACAAAATTTAGATGTAAGTTTAGACAAAACTGCTGTTTAAATAAAGTTAATGCACTGATTATTAATACGATCATTAACAGTTAAATCATAATTACGTAATAGCCATTACGTATGCATATTCACGTGACCAGGAATTTTGATGAAGGACGTAGCAACCCTGACCTGGTTTCTCATGATTAGTAATCAATTTATTAATAATAATAACGATAATTCGCATTACAGTACTCTTAAAAAGTCCGGTCGTAAACTAGTAGGAACGAGTTAATGACCTAATTCGAAATCGGCCTAGCGCTAGCCCTTGCGGTTATATATAGTCACTGTCTAATAGACATTATATTTTCAAGCGTATATATAATTAATATGATCATTCGACTCATTAACGGTTACGTTGGAATCAGCATAATTTAGCCATTTGAGTGCGGGAGAGGGAAAAGGGTGCACCCGTTTTTTAGTAAATGATCCGATTAAGCTCTTCTGATCTACAGCATTTCGGGCATTAAATCTGATATCGATAATATCGATATCGGATATATTTAATGCCCGAAATGCTGTAGATCAGAAGGGCTGAATCGGATAAATACGTAATCAATAATTTACTAAAAAAAAAGGGGATCCTTAAAGCCCGGTTGAAAAAAGTTGAAAAAAGTTACGTTTTTGATGTATTTAGAGTTACCTTTTTTGATACTGTTAGGGTTAGTAAGTTATTTAGATATCAAGAATACAATTTATGCAGTATGTAGATCAATATATGAAATCTGCCGCGCTTTAAGGGGGTGGTGCTCATTTCACCGACAATCACTTCACTGACAACTTAATTCACCGACAATTAATTCACCGACAAGTTCATTTCACCGACAATTAATTCGCCGACATCTCATTTCACAGACAAAGTAATTCTGGTCATTGTCGTTAAGGTCAGGCTAAATTAGAGTTAAGGTTAGTGTAATTTATAAAAAAAACTTGTCGGTGAAATGAACTTGTCGGTGAATTAATTGTCGGTGAAATGAACTTGTCGGTGGGTTAATTGTCGGTGAACTAAGTTGTCGGTGAAGTGATTGTCGGTGAAATGATACGTATCCCTTTAAGGGACCCCTAAAAAAAGGTTGCGCCCTTGCCCGTACTCATTTAGACAGTCTCTGAGATCATAATACTTTATGAGAACAAATATTGGACTTGTCTCTAAAAGCTCCAATCCAAACCCAATGATTCACAAACTTAAGAAGAAACCAAATTTTCCGGAAGTTCGCTCGAGTATAATTTTTAAAATCGTCGATTTCGGGTCTCTGGTTTACCTGAACCGAAATAATGACCTATTGTAATTGGATAAATTCCTGATCATTTGGGTCGATCACAAGTTTTTCGATTTCGAGTCTTATTTGTATTCAACATTATTTTTTCAGTTCAGATCTATTAAAAAACCCGACCGGTGCTGAACATCACCAATCCTAATATTGGGAATCACTTAACATCTTTACTGCAGATATATCGTACGCACCATAAATAAATTTAACGATATCCTCAGGTTATTTAAGTGAACGCTTTTTAAGGAATAAGGCCATACAAACTTAATAAATCGGTTCTCATAACATAAAATTTTTGAAAGTGACCCGGCAACTCGGCTTTTAATTTTATTTTCAAAAAAATTTTATATATAAAGAACATATAAAATTTTTTATAAATTTTTTAGAAAAACCCACCCGGATAGTAAATATACTTAAAATTTTTTTTTAAAGTTTTGTAAAATTTGACCCGGCCGGATTATGAGAACCGATTTATTAAGTTTATACGGCCTAATTGTAATCCAAACCTATATTATAGCCTGGTGCAAAAATTTGGCATTAATATCGTTTTTCCTCGGGTCACAAACGGGTTACTTTTTGTGGTTTTGTACGTAGTAAAGGAACATTAACCTCGAAGATGCTGCGGTCATTGTTGTAGCCCAAATATCAAAAATTTCAGGAATTTCTAAAATTCTTAGACTTTATAGGAGAAAGAGAATGAATTGAATTATTAAAAAATTTAAAAGCGTTAATTTAGTTTTTAAATGTATCTATTTGAAAGTCTTATTACCGTACCGCACTGCCTTTAGTACCCCCCTATTTAATATCCCCCTTCAAATAATACCCGGATACATTACAAAAACAAATCTCGAAAAATTGTATAAGATCCGGGTATTAAGATTTAATAGATTTAATTGAAAATTATTGAAGCATAATACAACCATGTCACAGTACCCCCGTCTTGTGTACCCACTCTTGGTTAAGTACCCATGGGTATATTGCCATGTATAATACCCTTTTTTTTGATAAGACCCGGGTACTAAAGGCAGTGCGGTACGGTAATAAGTAATAAATATTACCCATCAATTTGTTGAAAGGTATTACAATATGATAATTGCATTAAATGAATGTTACGCAATGCAATGCAATAAATTTGACTTGTCAATAATGTAACATTCTTTCATTGCATCAAAATGTCAATTACAAAACAACCAGAAAAAATCGACAATCCATTAGATGTTAATAAAATATCCAACAAAGTTAACCAATTGTATTTAGAAGAGAGTTCACAGGATTTTATTAATGAAATTATTAAAGAAATGTATAATCTGTATAATGAAAAAAGATTGAAAAACATAAACTACAGTTCAATGATTGACGCCTTAGAACAATTCCTAATAGAGAAAAAGCAAAATTCGGATAATATTATCAAATATTGCTTAGAAAATCCATTCGATACTAGGGCTCAAATCATTCTTGCATTTTGTTATGAGTGTGGTAAATGGGTTGAAAAAGACGAACATAAGGCATTCATTTATTATCAAAAATCTGCAGAGATGGGGGACGCTGCCAGAATAGATAGTGTTGGATATTGTTATCAACATGGAGTTGGAATTGAAAAGGATGAACTTCAGGCATTCATTTATTATCAAAAATCTGCAGAGATGGGGCATGCTAGTGGAACATATAAAGTTGGATATTGTTATCGAAATGGAATTTGAATTGAAAAGGATGAACATAAGGCATTCGTTTATTAACAAAAATCTGCAGAGATGGGGCATGCTATTGGAGCATGTAGTGTTGGATATTGTTATCAACATGGAATTGGAGTTGAAAAGGATGAACATAAGGCATTCGTTTATTATCAAAAATCTGCAGAGATGTATAATGTTAAAGGAATATATAATGTTGAATATTGTTATCGAAATGGGATTGGAGTTGAAAAGGATGAATATAAAGCATTCATTTATTATCAAAAATCTGCAGAGATGGGCAATTCTAATGGAGTATTTGGAATTGGGAATTGTTATAATCAAGGAATTGGAATTGAAAAGGATGAACGTAAGGCATTCTTTTATTATCAAAAATCTGCAGAGATGGGTGATTCTGATGGAGTATATAATGTTGGATATTGTTATCGAAATGAGATTGGAGTTGAAAAGGATGAATATAAAGCATTCATTTATTATCAAAAATCTGCAGAGATGGGTAATTCTAATGGAGTATTTGAAGTTGGATATTGTTATCTAAATGGAATTGGCGTTGAAAAGGATGAACATAAGGCATTCGTTTATTATCAAAAATCTGCAGAGATGGGGCACGGTGATGGAGCATATAATGTTGGATGTTGTTATGAAAATGGAGTTGGGATTGAAAAGGATGAACATAAGGCATTCGTCTATTATCAAAAATCTGCAGAGATGGGGCATGCTATTGGAACATGTAATGTTGGATATTGTTATCAACATGGAATTGGAGTTGAAAAGGATGAACATAAGGCATTCGTTTATTATCAAAAATCTG